CTAATGTCGATCATTGTTTATGGGGATGTAATGTATGCACCCGCACCGCAAACTCACCTTAATAAACTTAATACATTATATAATTTGTTCTGCCACTTTGTACTAGAATGTAATTACTTTACATGTTAAAAGACATGTTAAAAGAGCTAAACCGGCTATCACTAGAATCCCGACACACTCTTCATCTTGCCAGCCTTGTGCATAAGAGCTTCTCTGGGAAGCTCCCACCCTACCTGAGTAGAATGCTCTCCCCAGCTGTTCCCACCTCCTATAATCTCAGATCCAGTACTAGCATGATATTTTGCATACTGCAATACAAAAAGTGGCTCAATACTCATTTTCCTACAGAGCACCGCAATTATGGAATAACCTCTTCATTCAATCTAAAATCAGATATATGGCAATATACCTCAGCACAGAATGCACCTGTCATGGTTGAATATATTTATTACCTGTTATGTATTAAATTTATATATGTCTGTATGTATATATATTGTTTGTACATTGTATTTTTGTAATATTGTATCCTATTGTAACAATGCAATGTTTTGTGGACCCAGGACATACTTGAAAACGAGAGAAATCTCAATGTATCCATCCTGGTAAAATATTTTATAAATAAATAAATGTTGGGTCTGTGGTATCTGGAGCAAATGAAAAGTAGAGTTGTGTGTCATCCGCGTAACAATGAAACCTTAGGCCATGTCGCCTAATGACGTTCCCCAGTGGTAGCAAGTAAATTGCGAATAGCATTGGAGTCAAGATGGATCCTTGTGGAACTCCACAGGCCAGTGCCGATGAGCTTGATCCTGATGTTACTCCAAAAGGATTAGGATGGAGTAATCATCTTTGTCTCTCGCCATAAGGAGATCATTTAACACTTAGACTAGCGATGTATCCATGCCGTTGTGGCATCTGAAACTTGACTGGAAAGGATCAAAGATGTTCATGCTTGAAAGATGGGCCCAGGGACGTATTAGCCGCAAGGCAAACAAGGCATTTGCCTTGGGTGGCATTTTCCAGGGGTCTGGAAAAAAGCCACCCCCAAATGCCCAGGGCAAATGTGGGGGAGGGAGGGGGCCCCTGAGTTTTGTCATGCCTAGGGCAGCACAAAACCAGGATACACTACTGGATGGTCCTCCAGTTGAGTTGCCACTACTTTTTCAATTATTTTCACCAGAAATATACGGTTGAATACTGGTCTGTAATTAGCCATGCAGTCTGGGTCTAATAAAGGTTTTAGAGGATCTGGGAAGTGTCCAGTTTTTAGTGAACACTGCACTATTATTGTGAGGGCTGGGGCAAGTGTTTCAATGCATGCAGATATAAGCTGAGTTGGAGCAGGGTCTAAGTCACGTGTAGCAGGGTGTAACTTTTGCATGGTTCTTTTAACTCCCTCTATATCCAAATTGGTAAAAGTGGACCACAAACTGGGACAATCTGGCATTCCATTGTAGTGGTTCTGGTGTGTAACTGTGACTGTGGTAGAGGCTTGGATTGAGGAAATCTTGACTCTGAAGAAGATCACAAATGCTTCACACTTCTCCTGAGAAAAGTTGGTGGGGATATAATGCATGTTGGTTTGCAGAGCTTTTCTACTGTGCAAAACAGGTGCCTGGGTCTATTGTGGGAGAGTGCAATATCGGGTGATAAAAAAATAGTTTTTCTGAGTTATCTTAAATTATTATATTATTATATTATTATTATATTTAGATGTTTGGTATGTTTGTCCTGTGCCACTTTCTCTCGAGTTTCTCTGATGGTGCTATCAAACCACGGTGCATTGTTGTGGGTTTTGACAGTGCGTATGCATGTTGGTGCAATGCTTTTTAGGGTATCTCTCATGGTTTTGCTATAAAGTCAGACTAAGGAGATGGGGTCTTCACAAATGCCCATCAGTTCACTTAGATCCATATGTGATGTCACATCATGGCGTCACCCTTTTTAATGAGCAGTGTTTGACCAAGTTCTGAGTCTGGGGTCTGATTGTGATACATAGAGAAGTAAATGAATTGGTTATCTGACCAAACAACTGGATTTACAGTTACTGGAGACACTTCAAGTCCAGACTGGAACAGTAGATTAAGTGTATGACCTTTTCTGTGGGTGGAAGTGGGACAATTTGTGTGAAGCTGAGTGCACTCATGAAGCTGGGGAGATCCTGCCCAAGCAGGGAGGGTGTCATCAATCCAATTGTTAAAGTCTCCCAATATAAGACATCTGGGGTGTTCAAGGATTAAGCCAGCCAAAAGGTCTGAGAGTTCCTGAAGAAATCTCTTCCCATCTCCTGGGGGTCTGTATATTAACAGTATCTGGAATCCTCTATCTATTAAGTGACTGGCAGCTACGCATTCAAAAGTTTGGGGTTTGTGGACTGATATTGGTCTGGGATTCAAGCATGATTTCACACAGATCATAACTCCACCTTCCTTGCGATCTTGTCTTGGGTGGTGGAACACCATGTAATTGCCTGGAATAGCTGCCTCTAGAATAGGCCCCACATTTTAATCTAGCCATAATTCTGTAATGCACACTAATTTGAATGTTTCAATAAGGTCGGCAATAATAGCTGTGTTGTTTCTTATTGATCTGGCATTGCACAGTGTGACAGATCCCTCTGTCTTAGAACTATAGTTCTTTCCCGGTGGATTTGTGTAATTGCCTGTCCGTACTTCCCCGTTCATTTGTTTTATAATCTACTGAACAAACTGCCAAACGGCTGGCCACCCAGAAGAGGAGTGTGCTGCTGGTTAACCTATTGCCTGCAATTCGAACGTTGTGGTTAACCGCAGACACCTCCTAGTTGAAACCGTATGCTGGGTGGTCGTCGTTCGTATGCCAACCACGAGGCGGCGGCCATCTTAGATGCACGAATACACAGCGGTGTTCGTCGACAAACTTATGGAACTCAAAATTGACTTTTTTTCTCCCGAACACCGCTGAAAACCGCCGACCTCCATTCTTTGTCATCCGGCATACGAACACCGGTCCGTTCGGGACTTTTTATTTCATGAATGGACTTAACCCAGATAGCCATCCCATGGAGCCCTTCGTATACAGAAAGAAGAGTGTGAAAGACTTTGGCTCCATGGCGATTAAACTGTGTGTATTGGATCTGAGCGCCATTCGGTAATAATGTGCACTTAGATCTAGGATATCTGGGCATACGTTTGTGACGAGACCAATCTTGCCACTGTGCATTGGAGGAGCCTGGTTGCCTGCATCCTGCCTCTTGACTATGGACCAGCATTTAAATACTTTATTTTCCAATGCAGAAAGGTCTATTCATGTATTTCTGCCCTGGCGTTCGGTAGATTCTCGGATTTACTGAATGAACTCATTTAACCCAGATAGTTGGCCATGGAGCTTATTCGTGTAATAAAAGACTTTGGCTCCATGGCAATTGAACTGTATGTGTGTGGTCTGAGCGCCATTCAGTAATAATGTGCGCTCAGACCTAAGCTATCTGGAGATATGTTGCATGTCTGTATTTTATGTTTATTGTATATTTTATTGTATTTTACTGTCTTTTTGCTGCCATGTGCTTAGTGGAGTATTGCCTCTGTCTTTGGAGATGGTTGGATTGCTTCCCAGTTGTCTCCAGGATTGAAGACTCTGTGGAGCTGGTTTTGGGCAGAGGGGCCATGCTTCCTTTGGTCACAGGGGACTTCGATTTATCTTTTGAACCAATGGACCAATTTGGATGATTTTGATGTGTGTTTGTATTTGGAGTGTGAGTTTTGTGTGAATTTGATGTATACTTTGGGAGTTATGAATAATGTGGAAAAACTGTGTTTCTCTGCCTGTGATAATTGCATTAACCCATTGTGTGGGGAGGATTTTGTGTGGGAGTGTCTGAGTGTATTGTGCGTGTTTATTGGTTGTTTTGCAAAGCCCTATGGGTGGTACTAATGTGTATATAACAACAATAAACCCACAGCTCTGTCTGTTCACTGCATGACCCTCAACACAGAGCTTTGTCTCGTTCTTGGGGGGATTTACTGTATGCTGTTAGAGACTGATTGCCAGGAGTGTAAGCCGCTTGGGTGCTTTTCCTGTTCAGCTGCTAGCAGCTATTCGTGAGGTTCCAGTTCGGGAGTTTGGAGTGTTACTTTGTATCCTGTTCGCGAGTTTTGGGATCTGCGGTAGCTGTGCCTGTGTCTCTGGAAGGGGAAGATCTACTAAACGGTGGTTTATTCCTTTTATGCCTTGGGTGCTGTTACAACATTATATGTGTGGAATGCATTAGGTAGTTTTGAAGTTATGGAATTTTATGTATTTTTACTGTAATATTTAAAATGGCGTTTTGCCTCTATCCATGGAGATAATTGGATTTCTTCCCAATTATCTCCAGGATAGAGAGGAGGGGTTGCTTGTACAAAGGGGATGGTTTATGTCTGCGCCACTGTGATTGGCTAATGTATAATACTTGTCCCAGTCTTCCATCTGGTCCCCTAGGGGAGTGTCCACCAGGTGGGAGACCTGCATAAATACCGGGCAGGTAGCCCTCATTAAAGCAGATTCCTGTTTTACCCTCAAGACAGAGCTTGGTCTCGTGTTTGGGGGGATTGCTACTTTGGAGTATTCTTTCGCCTGTTCCAGGAGAGGAGGAGTTCGTATGAGTCTCTGTTCAGGAGTTTGAAGCATTCCCTTATTCCGTTCTGGAGTTTGGCGGTCTACAGCAACGGTGCCTGTGTCTCTAAAGGGGGAAGATCTACTAAACGGCGGTTTCACTCATTTATAAACACAAAAAGAATTCAGCGCTAGTAATCACAAAATTAGTCAAGGTAGGCAGCAACCCAAATGAAGGAAAACCCCTCGGGTCCTTCGGTGGATAGATACAAAAAGATATGGAAGGGCTGCGCCAAATAAGGGTAGATAGTCCAGTAAAGTATTGCTAGGGTGCCAATCCATCTATTGGCACCCTAGCAATACTTTACTGAACTATCTACCCTTATTTGGCGCAGCCCTTCCATATCTTTTTGTATCTATTCACTCATTTATGCCTGGAGTGTCTTAACACACAGGATTGATCTGATTGGACAGTCATGAGATTCTGAGCTTTTGCTCTGTATTTTGGAAACAGTGTGTCTTCTAACAGGGATCACACAAAGACGTTTCTTTGATTTGATAGTGTGGTTTTTGTGGCTTCTAGGTTGAATCCCTTCAATTGGGCTTGCAGGTAGACAGGGTGGTGGAGCAGCGGTGATAGTGTCAGAAGACTGAACTTTAAGTTTTGATTTTCCTCCATGACAGCCCCTGTCAGTCCATTTGAAGATGCCAAGTGATTTTAGGGTAACCACTAGCGAGGAATTGAGTGCAGTGACCGCTTTTTGGGGTCTTAGGGAATACAGATATGAGGGAGTATAGCTGATCATTCCCTCAGCAGTGAAGGAGTTAAAATTGCTTCTAGTTTTTGTAGGAATGTTAGCAGTGGGGGCTGGTTACATTTCCCTGCTCTATACGATTCAGGCCAGAGTGAGGTGTGGGATTTTTCACTTCAGGCTGCATTGTAGATAACAGATAAGAGAGCGCGCATGCAGGTCAAATTACAGGAGTTTAAAACCAATGTGTTTTAGTGAAATACAGTAGTTTTCATCAATTAGTTTTCTTAGTGTTTAGAAATGAAATCTGAGCATTGCTGAATTGATGATCAAATCCAAAACCCAATTTACACATGGAGGTGAGTCGTTTTTTAGTTTAAATGTACCTTGTTTGTGGTGTTCAGCTGAAGGTATCTCTTCCTGTTAGTAAGATGGTCCAGTGGAAGTATATTTCAATCCGTTGTGTAATGCCATCTGCTCAATTTTGGTAAATCCACTTGTGTGATATGTGGAGTCGATATTGGTCCTTGAAACATTTGTGATGTATTATGGGTGTAAGGAGGTTAAAATTAAGATAATTCCTGTTGCGGTCAGGAGCCTGAGAAAAATGTGGCAGCCAGCAGGGACAACTAAAGAAGAGACTTGAATCATGGTACCCTATCTGCTCCTATCTTCTATTCTGATTGCATTCCTCATGACGTTGAGATGTATGTACAAGCCACAACACAATTATTCGTTGGTGTTACCAGTTAGTAATAATATATATGCTGCAAATTACATAACATTTGGTGTGTTTTATTGTCTTATTGCTGGCAGCATTCTTGTATTCCAAGTGTTTGAACCCATGTAAATAAATTCAAAACTTCATGCCACTTTTACCCTATTTTGTGCGTTTTTGTGGTTTTATTGCATACTTCAATATACTCATAACATTCTACAGACCTTTGTTCAAAGTTATATAAATGTATTGATATACCATAGTCAAACAAACATTCTGATACATCAATATGGGCCTTGCTCAGAATATAATTTTAGATGGAAATATATAGATAGACAGACAGATACAATTTAGTAAAGTTAAGTGATACTATTTTAGAGTGTTAGTTTGTCAATATTTGCCACTTAGGCAGGTAATCAGAATTTAATAACAGAATCTCTCTACTGGTTTAAAAGTCGCCTAAATTTCATTTGCTTGTAGTTTGACATTTACAGCTATTCTTGGAAGGGCAAATTAGAAATCAATGACGCTCCTTCAAGCTTATGCCAATGTTCTGTAAGAAAAGACATTTAAATGTGATTTTTAGAAAAATGTTAAGCAAGATTAATTGGAAATGTGCAGATGCCTGTTTATATGATTAGAAAGAGGTAAAATCATTGACGGTTTACTAAATATCGGATGCATTCAGTAAGCAAGCAGATATCAAGTAGATAATGCTCAGGATAGAACTGGGCAAACAGGATAAAGTTTACATCACACAGGCACAAAGTACTATGAGATAGGCATATCTTCCACACTAACGTGAGCAATGATGAAGGTATTAAAAGTATTGTGCTGTCAAAGCATTTGGAATTTAAACTCAGTCTGAATAGCTTTATAATTAAAAGACACAAAGTGTAAAAATAGGTCAATGATAAAAATAAACCACCAACTAGGTTAGGTCATGTAACCAGTATCCTATACCTGCCACCGATCCATTGCTTCACCTGTCTTTCTATCTATTTTCCCATATATGTGGTTTGGAGCTCTCCTTCCAATTATTAATTTCACTATGGTTCTGGAAACAGGAGCCAAGTGCATTGTAACCCGAGTTTAACCCCTTAAGGACCAAACTTCTGGAACAAAAGGGAATCATGACAGGTCACACATGTCATGTGTCCTTAAGGGGTTAAAGTCAGAGTATAGTGGAAACCTACTGGATACCACACTCACCAAGTAAGTCATTTGCTCCGAAACCAGGGCTGGCCAACTCCACCTTCAAAATGTATTCACCTCTTTTTTTTTGTTGTTGCTTTTTTAACCCCTTAGTGACAAGTCTGTTTTTTTTTTATTTTCTTACCGTTAAGGACCAGGGCTGTTTTTTGCATTTCTGCATTTTGCATTTGTGTTTATCTGTAATTTTCCTCTTGCTCATTTACTGTACCCACACATATTATATACCGTTTTTCTCACCATTAAATGGTCTTTCTAAAGATACCATTATTTTCATCAAATCATATAATTTACTATAAAATCATTCTAAAATATGATGGCATTTTTAAAAAAAAAACACACTTTTTCTAACTTTGACCCCTAAAATCTGTTACGCATCTACAACCACCAAACAACACCTGTGCTAAATAGTTTCTAAATTTTGTCCTGAGTTTAGAAATACCCAATGTTAACATATACTTCGCTTATTTTTGCTAGTTATAGGGCAATAAGTACAAGTAGCACTTTGCTATTTCCAAACCATTTTTTTTTTCACAATTAACGAAAGTTACATTGAAACACTGATATCTGTCAGGAATACCTGAATAACCCTTCACATGTACATATTTTTTAAAAGAAGACAACCTACGGTATTTAACTTGGGGTGTTTTGACTATTTTCATGCAACCATTTTACCACCAATCTATGCCAAATTTAAAAAAAAAAAATCGATTTTTTTTTTTACACACATAGCAATTTAAGAATACATGTACTGGGAAACTTAAGGGTTACTGCCAGAGAACACCCTGTGATAGAATTTACTTTGATTCCAAGGTTCAAGCTTATAGGTGTCATATTAGATATCCTATATTAAAATTGGCTAACTTGCACTCAGGAAATGCTTAATGCTTAAAAGGAAACTTAAGACCATATATGTCTAGTTCCGGGAGCAGATAGTCCCCACCTGAGCTGTCTCTTCTAAATCAGTCTGTTCTTTCTTTTTCTCAGAACTTATCTGTTATATGTACATGACATTCATCCCCATGTCTTATTTGAACTCCTTTCACCCTTTCACTCACTTCCTACTACTGTCCTATGAGTATTTGCACATAAGCACTTACTTTTTAATGTACAAAAACACAACTGACAAAATAAAGGTCAGAGGCTTATTTTGATTACCAACAGGTGTCTGGTGTCTAATTCACGCTTCTCCAAGTGCACTTGAAATAATAACAATTTGGGCTACCTTGAATATACCAAAGATCACATTGGATTTATATCAAACCCAATATGTGTTCAGCAACATCTCCTGAGTACAGTGATGCCACTCATGTATAGTGTGTCGGGTTCTCTGGGGGCTAAAAGACCATATCTGGAGGGTGCACATTTCAGTTTTCCCACTTGGCATTTTCACAGCTGGTCATCATGCACCCATGTCCTATTTGGGACAATTTTGAAGCCGGCCAATGTATTATTTTTGTGTGTTATTTTTCTCTCACATTGTACTAGACATGGATTCTCAGTTCCTGTTATGTGTTACTGACACCCCAATATGTATTCAGCAACAACTCCCAAGTACAACAGTACCCCAATGTACAGGTTTTATGGGTTTTTGCAAACTTACAGGGGTCAAATGTAGGGCTTTTCCATGTTTGCACATTGAAATTTGCCAGATTGGTTTGCTGGGCCTATGTTGCCTTTTAAACCGTATGGCAGCCCAGGAATGAAAATCAACCCCATCATGGCATACCATTTGTAAAAGTAGACTATCCATGGTATTTAAATAGGGGTATGTCCAGTCTTTTTTAGTAGCCACTTAGTCACAAACCCTGGCCAAAATTAGTATTTATATATATTTTTTTTACATTTTTCACACATAATATCATGGGTGAAATGTCAGTTTATCAGTATAATAAATTATACTGCTCTAAAACACTCATATTTGTGTAGAGTAATGTCTCACGAGTACAACAGTACCCCTCAAGTACAGATTTTATGGTGATTTGGAAAGTTACAGGGTCAAACATAAGATTTGCCAATCTCTGTTTTTGTAAATTGCTGATTGCCTTTGAGACGGTATGGCAGCCCAGGAGTGAAAATTAACCCAACCATGACATACCATTTGAAAATGTAGACAACCCAGGGTATTCAAAATGGGGTATGTCCAGACTTTTGTAGTAGCCACTTAGCCACAAACACCTGCCAAAGTTAGCGTTCATATTTGTTTTTTGCATTTTTTTACACAAAAACTGCATTTTTATTTTATTTTAAATTCTTTATTTTGGTCACTCAGCATGTACAGAAAGCAGTGTAATAAACAGAGTGGGTCATGCCCTGGCCAAACAAGAACAGAAGCATATTAGATGTCCAGTACATGGGATCATGCTGAGTGGGTTTTGATTTTTTAAGATACATTTTAGTCAACAATATAATATCACAGTAATATTAAAACGGCCCCTGGGCTTATGATTAACAATTAGTTATATTAATACCAGGTTATCTCGTTTCGGCTTACGTGCTCCAGGGAGAGGAAAAGCCCCCTTTGGGGATATACAGCATCAAATACACCTATCTGTTGGATTAAGGAGGGAGGGGGGGGAGTCACGGTGGTGCTAGTGTGGTCTTCTCTGATCTAAGGCGATTGTAGGCTTTTGTGCCTCTGGTTGCATTGCAATTTAAAAAAAAAATGTAACTTAACAAGAATAAGGGTTAAGAGGAGAGCAACAACAAAAACACAACAGAGAGAAGAAAAAAGAAAAGTTCGGGTTAAGGTGGAACTTCAGTCCTCTCCAGCGCATCAGTGTTCTTAAGGTTTAAGGTCACTGTCTCTGAGGTTGTACGCTAGAGTGTTTACCAGTGAACAAGAAAAACACATTTGAATGTGGTTATTATTATTGTAGTCTTGGGATTTTAACGACAGGCTCTGTGGCATCCGGGATGGTGGAGAGTTCTCCAATCAGTGCAGTTCCTTCAGGTTGTGTTACCTGCTGGTATGGATTGACGGGATGACCTGGGTATGAATTATTTGGCATTGGTGGGGTCAAGCCTGGTTGAGGTGGCCGTGGATTCCGTGTGTGGGGTTTTTAGGCCCAATTGGCCCAGGTACGTGTCCAGGTCCTGCGGGCTTCTCGCCCGGTAGGCAGTC